GGGCGTGTCCCCCTCAAGGTGGATCTTGGACGAAAAGTAACAGATAGTAAAACAAACATTTAAAACATGCTCGAAAATAATCAAAACATCGTCCCCAGACTATGTTTTTACTATTTTCGAATATTCCTCCAGTAGAAAGACAGGCCCGACATAATCTTAGGGGGCCCGGAGGGACGGCCGCAGGAGGCAGGGCCCACGGGGCTCGGAAGGGCCAGGGCTGTTTTTTTCAACGTTTTCGAACAAAATCTTGAATTTGAAAACTGCGAAAAAAGGCGACCAGAAAGGCAACAAAAACGGCTCCAGGATTGGAGCCGGAATCGGACAATCAAAGAAACGGCGACGACGCCAGCAACAAAAACGGCGACGGAACCAGCAACAAACACGGCATAGCAGAACCGGTAGACAAACGAAAAAAAGCGGCGCAACAAAACCGAACCAGCGAACGACAAGAGAGCGCCAGGGACACCAAGGCAGCCGCACCCTGCCTCGAGCAGCGTGCCACGGGTTCGTGCCGTGCCGGCTCCAGCGCTGCCTCCTGACCCAGACCCCCCCGCGCTGTGAGCAAAGAACGACGGAAGGTTGCTCGCTATTTTCGGCCTCTGGGGGCCCTCACCAGGCCTCGGGACCGTCACAGAGCGACTCAGGAGGAGAAACCCGTCCTGGGGAATGGGTCCGGACTTCTTGGGTTAGGTCGGGCGTGTCGCCCTACAGGGAATTTTGGGCGAAAAATTAGAAATACTTAAAAATAAACCAGGAATACCAAAAATACAAAAAAAATCGTTGCCAGCCTATTTTTAAATAATTTTGGGAGATTCCTCCTGTAGAGGGACAGGTCCGACTTAACTCTGGGGGTCGCGTCATGACAAAATCATGGCGTCGGCCGACGGTCTGGGCCAGGGACGCTCGGCGGCCCTTCGAGCCGCCGCCAGTCCCGAGATCGTCCTCGTCGCCGTGGCTGCTGCCGACGGCGCGGATGCCCCCGGCACGGACGCTGCTGGCGATCTCGGTGCCGCTGTTAGACAAGCGTGTTCCACGACTCGCAAAGTACCTGCTCGCAAGCGGCCTGGATCTGCCGCGGGCGATCTACGGCACATTGCATCGAGGCAGACATGTGCTCATCTGACGTTTGCGAGTAGGCACATCTGCGAGTAGTGGAACGCGCACGGTGCCGCTGTGGAACTCCCGCCTTGCTGTTCAGACCGATGCGGTCTGCAGCGCTGCCCGCGACAGCCGGGATGAAGTCGGGCGTGTCCCTCTTCAGGAGGAATATTCAAAGATAGTACAAAAATAATATGGGGACGATTCTTGGAATATTTTTTGACTCTTTGGGAGCATTTTGGTAGTCTTGACTTTTCATCCAAAACCCCTCTGTAGGGGGACAGGCCGACCTAAGGCTGGGATTGGTCGGCGGCGGGCGCTGGGGGGGAAAGCGAGGAGGAGGAGGAGGAGGCCTGCTCGGAGAGCGGCGGGGCTTCTCAGAAGCCCTCTGGCCTCCTGCAGGGCTTTGGACGAAAAACTGACAATAGTCAAACACACACCCACGTGGTCAAACGTGGCCCAGAAATCGTCCCCAGACCAATGCTTGTTTGGCTATTTTTGGATACTCCTCCTGTAGAGGGAGAGGCCCGACTGAAACGTAGGTCCCCACCAGGGTCTCCGATCGAGAGGGTCGTTCTCAAGGTCCGGGGATGGGCACGCGAACCCCAACGAGCGCATCTTGAGCAGGGACCGACCGTCCCAGCATTCCTATAGGCCTACCACGAAATGTTCTCAGAACCGGAAAAACCATGGGCTAGAACAAGACAATCCCAGCCAGAAATGTTCTGAGAACATTTCGTGGAGACCACAAAGAAATTCTTATAACATTGTTTGGTAGGCCTATCGGCACGCCACGACGCTTCGCCACTGCTGACTCTGTGTCTTCTCGGGTCGGGCGAAAGGGGGGGCTAGCAAAGGGGGGGTTTGAGAATCAGCTCACGTAGCTGATTTTCCCGGCGCCTCCCGGCGCCGGAGGCGGCCATGTACCGAGGAATGGGCCCCTCGGGGAGGCCGACACCAGTTGCATGCAGCAAATTTCGTACCCCCCCCTTTCCCAATCCCCCCCTTTCGTCCGGCCCGATCTTCTGGGGCGGCGTGGACTACTTCTCGGAAGGCTGGAGGACTTCCGAGCCTTCTGAGAAGAGGCCCACACCCCCTCGCACTCCCCCCCTGGGCGCGCCGCCGACTTGGGCAAGAGCTCCGACAAAAATCGTTCCCTCTCGGCCGGTGCTGGGCCACCGCCGGCGCTCAGCCCTCCACGGCCGCGCCGGCGGGGCGCGGCCCGCCCGCGTGCCGCTGGCGGACTTAGAGGGAAATTAAGACACATAAATAAATACACACAAATAAAAATAGTCCCCATATTTTCCCATATTTTCTGGGTTTTTGTCTTCCCCCCCAATTCCCATATTTTCCCATATTTTCTGGGGGATCGCCGATTAATTGTGTCTGTGTGTTTTTTTCCCTCCTGAGGACTGCCTGGAGCCGCGCGGAGAACCACTCCCACCTCGGGCGATCGGCGGCCCTTCGATCGCCAGATCCTTCCATGTGCCGGGGATGGCGGGAGAGTGCGCGGGCTGGCCACTCCTCGGACAAGAAGGGAAGCGTGTTCGAGAGGCTACCTGCGCACAAAGAGACTCGAAAGAAGCCGGGGGCGGGGCGCAGCACGACTGTGACGCACAAGCCAATGCGATTGGAAGGTGCCAACTGGTCAATCCAAACCCGGGTCGGTCAGGCCCTGCGAGATCCTGCAGGACCCGGGTCAGTGCGCCTCCGGCCCTACAGGATATCCTGCACGATCTGGCGCTCTGACGGACCCCGTGCCCACACCCCCGACGCCATGATTTTGTTTCATGACGCGACCCCCCCAGACGTCCAGACCCATTCCCCGGGATCCGCTTCTCATCCTGAATCGTTCTCTGACTGTCCCGAGGCCTGGTGAGGGCCCAGAGGCCGAGCATAGCCAATAACCTGGGTCTGCATCGACCCCCGTCTCGAGGCCCCCGAATACTCCAAATCCCTATTTCATCGACCCCCCCTAAAAAACCCGACCACCCTCCAAATGCGGCCTAATTAATATTCCGGACCCCCCTCTTCGACGGGGCGCCTCAATAACTAAACCAGACCCCCTAAGCTCCAATCCAAAGGAAGCGCCCTAATAAACCGGACCCCCCCAGTTACAAAAAAGGCGCCTTAAAAGACCAGACCCGGGGGACGATTAACTAATAAGGGATTTGGAGCATTGGGCGGTCTTGGGGCCTCCTTGGGCCGTCTTGGAGCGCCGGGAGCCCGAAGACTCAGAAACGCCGAAAGTGCAGCACTACTCATGGCAGAAATGACAGAGGCTTGCCTTTTCGGGCCCTCGTGGGTGTGCTGCTGGAGGCCTTCGGGGCCATCTTGGAGGCATCTGGGCCCTGGGCCACCAGCGGCGTTCCGCCCCGAACGCGTCCCGCCGTGGCGGAGCTTCTGACGCCGCGTCTGGGTGGCCCCGCCTCGGGCGCTCGCGGCTTCCCGGCACGGTGACTTTTGTTTGTTGTTTTTTCATGGCCGTTCCCTGAGATCCGACGTTGCCCCCCAAAAATTGCATCATCGCTACAATCACGACTGGAGCCCCAGACCCCATCTCTCTGCGTCTTTGCTTGAAGCCGGACCGATCTGTGAGGGTCACGGGGCCCAACGTTGAGCGAACACGCCCGCTCTGATCAAAAATGCAACGCCCGGATCTCAGGGTCGGTCTGCGGATGCAGGCCTACTTGCAAAAAGAGTTCGGCTGGCCCAGCCGCACGGCTGACACACCAGCGAGGCGACAAGGCACGGCGTCGCCTCGGCGAGATCCGCTTTGGGGCGGGGGGCTTCGCGAGGCCCTCTCGGTGAGGGCTCTGGATAGGGAGCCCTGAGATGAGGAGCCCAGGGCCTGGAAGCCAGGGGCATCCCAATCGTGGGTGGCCATGGATAGCACCACCGCCCCTGACTGGATAAAGTGACACTCCAGGGCCTGAGGCCTCCTGGGCACGTTCCCGAGCGGAGGGCAGATCTCGCGCGACGTTGTCGACTACTCTCAAGGGTGACCCTAGGTAGGAGTGACCTTTAGTGCGCGGTTTTCTTGGGGCCGCCGGCGCGCAAGACGCCACTGCCGCATCGCGTTTGGCGATCGTGGTACCCCCCTGGGCCTGCACCAGAGGCCACTCTGGCGAAAGGTCACTCTTACGTGTAGCCGATGTTGGCTGACTCCTCCTCCTCCTCCTCCTCCTCCTCCTCCTCCTCCTCCTCCTCCTCCTCCTCCTCCTCCTCCTACGTGTGCAGCCTGTGGCCCGGCGAGGGCCCCTGGAGACCGACAGAACGGCCACAGACTCCCCGTTGTGATCTGCGTCCTCGCCGCGAGCGCGTCGGGATATAGACCTCGCTGCCTTACGCCTTCTGGCCGCCGCCGCGTGGCTGCCTCGGCCTCGGGCTGCCCGATGGCGCAGACCGTGCGGTCCTGGCCGTCCCTGGGCCGCTGGCGGCGTTCCGTCCTGCACGCCCGCGCCGGGGTGGCCACCGCGTCGGCACGGCACCCGCCTGCCGTGCGCCTGCCCTCCTCGCGAGAGAACGCGGGATCACGAGACTCGAGGCTTGGGTCGGGCTGAGGGCGAAACATCAAAAAAAACTTACAAAATACCCCAACATAGTCAAACAATGCTGGAAACATCGTCCCCGGATTATTTTTCTACTATTTTCGAATAATCCTCCTGTAGGTGGACATGCCCGACTTCACTCGACGCGTGAACTTTTTTCGACGCAGCGCGGCGGAGGCAATCCGCACACGCGCTCGAGCAGCGGAGGGCGCGCCCGGCATGGCCACTGTCCGGCCGCTGGAAGGAGAGCAGGCGGGGAGGGCCGGCCGCGAAGGTCCGGAGGGGGGAGGGAGGCACTCACCGCGGAACAGCGATTCAGGAGGAGGAGGAGGAGGAGGAGGAGGAGGAGGAGGAGGAGGAGAGCGTGCTGTAGCGGCCAGTTCGAGGCATGCACACGTCCAGCTGGAACAACAACTGAGCAGGCAGAACCTTTCGGAGGTCCGCGCAGATATCTTGGATCTGAGCTGCACCCATCTGAGCGCCAGGGGCGGCGCTGGCGGCGCTGCCAGAAGGGGCTTCACCGCCGAATCGAGATTTCCAAGCGGAGCTCTGAAAGCTTATGGTTCTGCTGCTATTGCTTTGTGTATAGCAGCAGTCATGGCATGAGTGACGAGGACGAGGACGAAAACGACGAGGAGCACGACTCGGTACAACGACTGGGGCGAGCGGTGGGGCAATGAGAACGCAACTGTCTTTTGACGCAGTGGAAAGTGCGAGTGCTCGTAGGAAGGCGTCTGGGAGATAATGCAGAGCCCCTCGCTAAGGGGCGCCCTGAAAGCGGCGTCGGCGCCGTGCTCCCCTCGTCCGGCGCATAGAGATACTCCGCCGATCCCCGATCGCCGAGAGTGAGAGCGCATGTGAAATGATTTGCTGTCCTCCCTCCCCTCTTTCTGGACCCCAAGGAGCTGAGCTCACCAAGGCACGCTTGGGCCGTGTGTGTATATATATATATATGTGTGTGTGTGTGTGTGTGTGTGTGTGTGTGTGTGTGTGTGTGGAGGCTTGCACTTCGGCATTCTTACTTCCTTTCTGAGGAACTGGGCCTGGTTGGCGGTCTGGCGGCTCCGTGCTCGCCGTCGCCGCCTCGTCGCCGCCCCATCGCCGCCCAGATTGCACCACGAAGATTGCACAACATATTTTGCGCCACATAGGAATTTGCGCCACGTCGATTGCAGAGATAGCGAACCTATTTTAAACCACAACATGTGCACCACATACATTGCACAACACAGATTGCACAACCTATTTAGCATCACCTATATTGCACCACGTAGTTTGCAACACACGAGTTGCACAGCCTGTATTGCATAACGTTGGTTGCACATTGTAGATTGTACCACTTAGATTCCCCTTGCCAACAGAGAATTCGGATCACCACCCCGGGGTCAACGGGCCACCCGTTCGTATTGTCATGTGTATATGCTTCTGCCCAACCGTCCATCCTAAATATAACTTCGTACCATCGCAGGCAGGCCGGCATCGGTTCCCCCTCATCCTCTTCAAAGCAAAAACTATGCTCGCAAACTCGTTCATCAAATTCATGAACTGTCAAGAATCCCCTGCAACAGAAAACGGGAAGAAATGCACACGCGCGCGTCGTCGTGCGTGCATGCCGGAATCTTTCAGAAACTTCAGATTTCTGAAGGATTTCAAAATCGAGTGCCCCGAAAACATACAAAAACAAGTGGCTTCACAATGTTAAGTTTCAAACGCAATGTGCGCTCGGCTCCTTGCGAATTCTTACGAAAACCATCGGCTTTTTCAATGTTTCGTAACTTGCCAAGTGGCCTTTTGCGCGCGCATGTCGGAATCGCTCGAACGCCCTTGCGAGCGTGCTGTCGCAAGAATCCCCTTCAAAAAACTGGACGAAGTGCACACGCGCGCGTCGTCGCGCGCGCGTGCGGATATCCTTCAAAAACCTTGAACTGCGCACGGATTTCAAAAACGAGTGTCCCGAAAACAGATAAAACACACACGGTTCAGCAATCTCAGTTTGCGAACACATCTGGCGCTCGCGGCCCTGCGGATGTTTGAGGAAACCATCGGTTCCAACAGTTTAATCAGATTCTGCCAGACAGACCTCTCGCGCCGCATGTCGAACTCATTCGAACGCCCCTGCGCGCGTGCTGAGGGGATGTTGCACTTTCCTTCGTTTCGCCCTTCCGACGCCCCTAAATCGCCCAGGAGGCCTCCAAGCTGGCCCCATGACAGCCCCAAAGGCCCCCATGACGGCCCCAAGACGGCCCAAGAGCCCTCCAAGACGCCCAAGATGGCCTCCAAGACGGCTCCGAAGCGCCATAACAGGGCTCCAGATCGGAACCCAAGGGCTCCCACGACGGCTGCCGACGGTATCAGACGGGCCAGGAACGCACTAACACAGCCAAAGAGGCCTCCAAGAACCCCCCAATGGCCCCCAAGAGGCAAGAGTGCCAGAAGACTCCCAGGGAGCCTCGTCGTCGTCGTCGTGGTCGTCGTCGTCGTCGCCCTTGTTCTCTTTCTCGTCCTCCTCCTCATTTCCATCCTCCTCTTCGTCATCCTCCTCCTGCTGCCTCTCCTGACCCTCCCCCTCATCCTTCCCCAAATGTTGCCCGAGGAGTTTCCTGAAAGGCTGTGAGAGTACGTAGTCCGATAGCTATCGCAGTGGCTAGACCACGCCAACGCCCCCCTCCTTGGACGATGCCAGAAGCCCCTGCAACGTCCAAGAGCCGGCCCCTGAGGCACCATAGCGGTCCCAGGAAGCTCCGACTGTGCCGAAGAGCTAACTCCCACCGCCCAAGAGAATTCCAAGACGGTCCCGGAGCGCTCCACGAAAGGCCAAGATGATGTCCTGACGGGCCACGAGGCTTCAAAGACGCTTTCAAGGGCTGCCAGCTGGCCCCTTCAGGAAAATCCTCCGCTTTCCCTTAAATTTTCCCGTGATCCTCGCATTCTCGTCCTTCCGGACTACAGAGCGTCCAAGACGGACCACGAGGCTTCCAAAACGGCCGCGGGACGGCGCAAGAGAGCGCTCCGTCTCACGGACGAAGACCCCTCAAAGACTCGACGCGGCCACCCCTGTGCACACATCTCTGTCCCTTTCCGACTTAGCCGCATCGAGCCTCGTCGTGGTCGTCGTCGTCGTCGTCGTCGTCGTCGTCGTCGTCGTCGTCGTCGTCGTCAGTCATCGACGTCGTCGACGTCCCCAAGCCAGCCTCCCCCACCTCCGGTCCGGGGCACCAGAGGCAAGTTGCCGGCGGCGGGGCCCGCGGCAAGCGCGACAGAAGCGCCCGTGCCTGCCGTCTTCTCGAATAACCCTTGGGCAAACATGTAAGGCGAGGCGGAACGAGCTTTCAAAATATGGTAATTCACATGTGTCGATGTATATGTATAACCGCTAACCCGTGAGAATAAACACTAGGGGATAATAAAGTTCGGGGTTCAGGGGGAGATAATCAAAGTAGCCCAACAGACCTCAGCATAATCTCGAAGTAAGAGATGATCAAGAGGAGACCAAGCCGAGCACGTTTTGAGACATCCTTGGCGTTTAGTCTTCATAGAAGTATCCTCATCAATGGCTTATCTCGCTGGAGACATCCTCGACAAATCCCTTGATTCGCTTGAGACATCCACAAACTATTGCTTATTTCGCTTGAGACACCGTCAAACTATTGCTTATTTTGCTTAAGAAGGGCGGAGAAATGGAGAAAGCGATATACAAAAACAAAAATGAAAAGAAACAATAAGAAATGAAAAAGAAAAAGTAAAACAATCAAAAAGAAAAGAAAATAGAGGAGGAGGAGAAAGAGAAGGAAACATCTCAAATTCAAATGTATTAGATTTTATTTACAAGCGCTTTATGACAATTAAAATTTTTAAGTGCTCGTGTAGGGTAGCTCATGTGCTTCATTTTCCATGGATAATCAACCCCAGGGATAAAAAAGTTCAGAGGGGGGGGGGCATGGAGAGAGAGAGAGAGAGAGGGAGAGAGAGAAAGAGAGAGAGAGAGAGAGAGAGAAAGAGAGATACATCATAAAGAAAAAGGAAGGAAGGACTTAAAGAGAGAAGATCTGTTTAAAAAGAAAAGTAGAATAAGAAATGAAAAGGATAAAGAGAAGAGGAAAGGAGGATAAGACAAAACATCTGAAGATTCAAATGTATTAAAATTTATTTACATGCGCTTTATGAAAATTAAAATTTTTAAGTGCTCGTGTAGGGTAGCTCACGTGCCTCGTTTTCCCTGGAGAATCAACCCCAGCGATGAACAAGTTCAGGGCGCCAGGGGGAGGAGGAGGAGAAAGAGATAGAGAGACAGAAAGAGAGAGAGACAGAGAGGCCAGGAAGGAGAAAGAGATAGAGAGACAGAGAGAGAGAGAAAGAGAGACAGAGAAAGAAAGAAAGAAAGAGAGACAGAAAGAACTACAAAAAGACAGAAAGACATTGGTTTCGCTTGAGACATCCTGAAACAACGTGTTCGCTTCGCTTGATGTTGTTATCTCAACATAAGAAGGAAGTAACTTCGATGGCGAACTTTTCCCGTGATAATGAAGTTCGGCCTCCGCGCCCCCGCGCCCCCGACCAAACTCTTATTGGTCGACGATAATCAACTCTAATAACTGAAGGGGGGGATACATTATTATCCTCGGCATGCGGTTACAAATGCGTGTGTATACATATATCTATATATATATATGCATATGCATAATTATGTATGGTTACGAGTATACACGCACATGTATTTGTAGATGTGGAAGAATCGATGTATATATGTATATAGTTGTAAGTCTGTATGGATGGATGAATGCCATGCATGCATGTATAAATGGGTAATGATGAAATATTAGTACCCCATGATGTCACCGCCAAAGCTGCCCCAAGAGGGTGCTCAAGACGGCTCCGGTTGGCCAGTGGTCTCGAAGCCTGTAGACAATGTCTCCCAGAAGCACACGTTGTTCAAACACATATTGTTTTTTTAACGACGCGCGGGTGCAGACTGCAATCTGATGTTTGCGAGGTGGACTGGAGTGAGTAGCTAAACCAATCGAAACACCAAAGCGGTTAGATGGCAAGCGTATCCTCGGGGCGCACGTGTGCGCGTGGAGAGCCGCTGTTTGGTGAAGGGGGTGAGCATCTGGTGCTGGCAATCGGTTCTTGGCCGCTGAAAGTGAGGATAATACGCTGCAACATTCAGGCCAGGTGGTGGGGATGTTTCGCCGGCCGTTTTAGGCCAAGGGGGAGGTGATACTTTTGATGGCTGTTTCAGGCCGCTGGCGAGGGGGACGAAGAGGGGCTGCCGCCGACAATCTTAAGCCCATGGGGCGCGGATAGTATGTTTGAAGTCTTGGGCCAGGGGGGGGGGTAATTCGCTGGTAGCGTGAAGCCAGCGTGAGTGGGAGCGTGTTGCTGGCAACTTTACGCTGGGGTGGGGAGGACACGCGTTGCTGGCTGCTTGGGGCCAGAGACTGTTTGTATACAGCCGAACATGTGATCAAAATAACTATCGTTTAAGACAGCTGGGCCAGCTTCCCCTGGATTTCTTGAAACTGTTTCAACCAGCGGGCGCAAGCGAAACGAGACTGGTGCAGGCACTGGTCGGGCTTCGGGCGGGACGCGCAAGGAACGAATTGAGGCACGGAAGCAGAGGAGGACGCGATGAAGGCAACAAAGAAGAGGCGGGAACCACTCATCAACATCCATCGCAAGGTGTCTTGAAGCAAGCCTGGGCCAATCTCTGCCGTGGCCGCTGGAAGGGCGAACGTGCTCAAGAGGCTGGGCCAGATTTCTGGCAAGCTGGGTGAGCATCGCTGACACAGCTTTTCGAGAGGAGGCTTCGTAGTTTCGGCGGCGTCCAGGAGGGGGGTCCAAGAGGGGAGGGCGCAAATCATGGCCAGCAGCATGTGCGCGGCCCAGGGGGGGGCCGGGGACGTACTGGAATAAGAAGGGGCGCCATGAAATCTGGGGAGATATCATGGCCATGGCCATGATATCCACCCCCCCGAACCTTGAGCAGGGACCGACCGTCCAAAAACAGTGTTCTTAGAACAGAAGGCCGATGTGCTAAAATAAAACAAGCCAGGCCTGAAAGTTCTAAGAACATCTCGCGCAGACCACAATGAGATTATCAGAACATTCTCGCTGGTGGGCCTATAGGCAAGCCAGGACGCTTCGCCACTGCTCGATAGTCATCAACCCCCTCTTGGCCGCCCCCGAGCCTGGCTCCGATGTGGTGGAGACTCCGGGCCCAGGGGCTCAGAAGGCGCCGGGCACCGACGCGAGAACCTCCGAGCAGGAGAGGGGCTATGAAATCTGGGGAAATATCATGGCCCTGGCCATGATGTCCACCCCCTCTAGTCATCGCCCCCCGAGTGTTATGCGCTCGACGGTATTTCACTGACGGAGAGCCTTTGGCGCCATGTCTAGAGGCTAGATGGGGTCAAAAGTAGATAGGGGTCGGAAGATCGCGCCGCATCGACGATGCATCGCCGATGCGTCGGCGATGCGTCGGCGTGCAGGAAATCGGGCTCCACATCGAGCTGCATCGGCGATGCATCAGCGATGCGGCACGATCCTCCGACCCCATCCACTCCGACTCCATCTAGGAGGCCCAGAACGTCGAAGCCCAAGGCCCTGAGATTGATGGCTTGACCAGGGATCGACCTAACCGATGTTTTTCGTTTTCGTGATGTGTTCGTTTTCCCTCGCTTTGTCTTCAGTCCGCCTTGGCTGCAGAACGAAGTCGAAACGAAAACGGCCCACGAGTTCGCAAAAGAACCGTTGAGGTCGACATCTGGGTCTGACGATTGGCTCTGTGGCAACTCGAACCTCGACGCCAGACCGACGAACCAAACGACACAACGCAGCAGCTTGCAATACATACGGGGAGCCGGTGCTTCGAGCACAGTTGGCTCTAGGGCACCGCTCACGCGCTCCAGCAGTTGCACATTGTTGCTCGTTTCGACCGCGCCTACGTGTCACAAGCGAGGGCACCGCATCCAGCGCGGTGCTGAGCCAGTCTGTACCTCTCGGGGATCTGCTGGCCCGGGTCAATCTGGACCCCTGTCCGTCGGGCGTCGCAGGATCCTGCGCGATCCTGCGGCATCCTGCAAAATCCTGCACCCAAGCCCGCGCCAATGCCACCCTGGCCCTGCAGGATCCTGCGAGATCCGGCTTTCTGGCGGACCCCCGCGTGCTTTGTTGTAAAGACGATTCGAAATAATGCCCTGATTTTACAATTATTTGGCATTTTCATTTGAAAGTGTGGCCTAATTCTAAAATGATGTTGTATCTTCATGGGAGAATTTCCAGTATTCCGGGGAGGACCGCGTTTCGCTTACTGTCCGCCCCTACCTCAAGGCCTCCGATTCTCGCTTTCTCGCGCAGGGCCGGTCGGGGGCCAGGGGGCGACTTCTCTGGAGAGTGTTTAGCCTTCTCGCCGTTTCGTGTCCCATGCGCTTCCCTGAAGCCTCAAGATGGCTCGAAGATAGCTGGTCCCAACGAGACAAAACATGGTCCGATACGGCTCCAAAGCCTTTCTTCCGCAGCGTGTTCCTACCCTCTTCTCATCAAGGCAGCTCGCGTGAGGGTCGTTTCTGGGTGGGTTTGGGAGGTATACGAAGCGAACAACATTGCCATTCGGACCTTCATACAAGGCACCCTCAAGACGGGTGATCGGCGACACACGCACACACACACATGAGCCGAAGCCTTCCCCCATCCCCCCCGAACAAAAGAGTTCCTGGACAACCTCTGGACAAGCGCCACAGCCACTGCATGCAACAAAGGCTTGCTAGCAGCGCCGCAACTGCAATCATCTAACCCCGACTTGGGGAATGAAACCAATACGCGGTCGAAGCGGAAGCCCAAGTCTGCGCCATTTCACCATAGCATAGCCTCCCGTCTGTTTCGCGATGGTCGTCGTCGTTGCCGCATCCCCCTGGACCACCTCTCTCCTCCACGGCTCCTCTCTTTCATGTCATGCAGTTCAAGCGCGTGAATTATATAAGCCTTTTGAACAAAGCGGTACCACTCGGAGTGGTCATCTGATCCCAATTGGCTGATGGCAAGCCTTCGGGATTGGTTCCAAACGCAGGAATATGTAGTGCTTCAAGAGCCTCGCATGCATGCATCGCACACGTCGTAGCTAAGTGAATGCAAGATTGTCCGCGTTCCGTTTTCACATGTCCACACACCATTCGTGGCTGAGAGTCTTTGATCGCATGCATCGCAATATACTGGCGGTGAACGCATCAATCTGTCAACATTAACTTGGAAAAGTGGGTTATCACGCGCGACTGTTCGTTCAGCGTACTGCTCTACCCTTTCCCGACAACTGTAATGCTTCAGAACGCTCCCACACACGCAAAGGGGGGAAAGCACGCTCTCAACAGGGATCTCTACAACCGCAGAAGCAGCAAACCAGTCCGCTTCTGGCAACTGCCCATCATGGAAAGACAGCTTATAGGACAACAGAGCGTCGGCAGGATCGCGAACCTCGATCACACCCGTCCGTCCAGTAGCCCTTACACGACCCTTCGTTGGCATTCTCTTCGCACGGTACTCTTCCAACAATCGGTGTTGCAAAGGCTTGGCCTGATCGTAGAGGCGATTAATCATGCCAACGTCTGGCTCTCCTGTCCGGGTAAATATCAAGGACCGGCTCTCTGCGTCGAAATCGACCCGCATCAAACTGCGACAGGAGGGGCACCGTGCGCTTCGTGTGGCCTGGTACGACGCGCTCAACGACTGGTCCCAACAACGGAAGCAGTAAGACAGTCGACAAGCACACGGCAGTGCCACAGCCCCGCCTAGGTCCACCACACTTTCGAAGCACACGACGCACACCTCATCCTCAACAGTCTTGTCACGAGCTGGCTGGAAAAGACTCGACGGAGATCGCCACAGCGCTCCGCTGCATTGCCCCCGGAGTTCTGCCGTTGCCTCTACGGCATCCATCGTGAACGCAACAACCTGGGACGCAAGCCTGTGCGCTACAGATCCGCTGCTGTACCAGAGGCCACTTGGGAACGTGAGGCGCGCAGAAGCGACCGTGGCCTGAGCCAACGTGGCTTGCACAAAACTGGCTCGAGCTAGCTCGCATACACCGGACTCACTTCTATAACGCTCACTTCTATAGTGCTCACTTTGAAATTGTGGTCCGGAAGGGGCCGCACATGCAGGCACATGCCGCACAGTCGCATGCACATGCCCATGCAAGTATACAAAAGCCTCAACAGCATTGCCGCACATGCGCGCACATGCCACACCGTCCGACGCACAGTCGAATGCACGGTCAAGCAAAACTCTGAAAGCATAGACGCACATGCCCGCACATGCCGCAGAGATGTCGCAGGCGATAGTGGCCTGACCACCTGAGCTCGGGGCATTTCGCAACCCAGAGTTCCGAGGATGTCTCAGGCAAGCGTGGCCGGATCACCATGGGGCAGGGCATCTTGGAAACCAGAGTGGCGAGGATGTCGCTGGTCAAGGTGACCAGACGACCATGGGGCAGGACACCTCCGAGGTCTGAGTTGTGAGGATGTCTCAAGCGAAAGTGGCCTGACCACCATGGGGCAAGAGATCTCTGAGGTCAGAGTTGCGAGGATGTCTCTGGGGAGAGTGGTCTGACCACCTCAGCCCAGGGCATCTCGGAGCCCAGAGTTGCGAGGATGTCTCAGGCAGGACTGGCCTGACCACTTGCTCAGGGCATCTCAGAACCCAGAGTTGCGAGGGTCTCGGGCGAAAAAGGCCGAGACACTATGGAGCAGGGCATCATTGAGGTCAGAGTTGCGAGGATGTCTCAGGCAAAAGTGGCCTGAACAGCTCAACTCAGGGCATCTCGGGCGAGGATATCCAAAGGTAAAATGGTCTAACCACCTCAGCTCAGGGCGTCTCGGAACCCCGAGTTCCGAGGATGTCTCAGGCGAAAGGGGCCGAGACACTATCGAGCAGGGCATCATTGAGATCAGGGTTGCGAGGATGTCTCAGGCGACAGTGGCTGACCACCTCAGCTCGGGGCATATCGGAATCGAGACTTGCGAGAATGTCTCAGGCGACCGTGGCCTGACCAGCATGGGGCAGGAGATCTCTGAGGTCAGAGTTGCGAGGATGTCTCAGGCGAAAGTGGTCTAACCACCTCAGCTCAGGGCGTCTCGAAACCCAGAGTCCCGAGGATGTCTCAAGCGAAAGTGGCCGGGCCACCATGGGGCAGGGCATCTCCGAGACCAGAGTTGCGAGGATGTCTCAGGCGAAGGTGGCCAGATCACTTCATGTCAAAGCACGTCGGCCTCCAGATTGCCGACGACGTCTCACGCGGAACTGGCCGGACGCGAACGCGCCGGCGTCCGGAGACGAACGCCGGCCCCGGCATTCGTGCACGTCCCGCACATGCACTGCACAGGTACGCACAGTATTCGCACAGGCCGAGCTCGCCGGTGGCCGAGGCAGCCAAAAATAGCGCCGAGGCCGTCCAAGAAGCCGCCAAGACGGCCCCAGATGCCACGATTTTTCTACTACCGGCCGGGGCCGGTGCTGTAGTAGAAAAATGGTTGGCTATTTGACGTAGAAGATAATCGAAAAGGCCCGGCAGAAGGGCCCGAACAAAGCCCCGAGGCAGCCAAAAATAACGCCAAGGCCGTCCAAGAAGCCGTCCAGACGGGCATATAGATGCCACGATTTTTCTACTACCGGCCGGGGCCGGTGCTGTAGTAGAAAAGTGGTTGGCTATTTGACGTAGAAAATAACCGAAAAGGCCCGGCAAAATGGCCCGAACAAAGCCCCGAGGCGGCCAAAAATAACGCCGAGGCCGTCCAAGAAGCCGCCAAGACGGGCCGTCAAGCCACTTTCGCCTGAGACATCCTCGCAACTCTCACCTCCTCCTCCTCCTCCTCTTCCTCTTCCTCCTCCTCCTCCTCCTCCTCCTCCTCCTCCTCCTCCTCCTCTCCTCTGGCCGAGCCGAACAGGCAGGCGGGCCAGCCGAGCCGGGGGCGCCCGCCTTCTCCGCCCCCCCCTCCTCCCCCTCCCCTCCACCTCGCCCCCCCCATCCCTGCTTCTCCGGCCGAGCTGGGCAGGCGCGCGGGGGAGTATTTTATTAGGCGCGCGCCACCGCCAGCTCACGAACCGGGCGAAGAACCGCCCCCGCCAGCAGCGGGCGAGTCTAAACGCACAACAAACTCTTTCAGGAAGCCCTGGCACGCCCCAGGCTAGCTCTGCGAAGGCCAGGAGGCATTGGAGGCACAGGGGTCCAAGACAGCTCCTGGGGCATGAGCGTGCATGTGCATTGGGATGTGCACGCATGTGCGCCCGCGCGCTTCACCGCATGTGCGTGCATGTGCGGGCCCGCGCGGCCTCCCGAAGAGAGGTTGCGCAGGCATGTGCGTGCATGTGCCGATGACAGATCTGCGATTCTCGAACACCTCCCGCATGTGCAGGCATGTGCGCGCATGTGCGTCGGACTGTGCGTGCATGTGCGTATGATGGATACATCAAAACACAGCGCACATGCCCCCGCACATGCCCGGGCACGACGTGCACAGTAGGAAGTCCATCCAAGAAGGACCGCACAGGCCTGGCACATGACTGGCACATGCCGCGCACATGCGCGCACATGACAGCGCAAAAACGGCCGCACATACACCCACCCAGGGGTATAGATGTGAGTGCGGTGTACGGATGCCTGTGTAGCGCCTGCTCGGGCGGGGAGCCACTCCTCCTACGCATAGTCCCCTTCCTCCTCGCCCTCTCCTCAAGATCGAACCCAAAACCCAGACATCCAGCGCATCGGAGAACTCAAAGCCGCTGGTTTGTCGTCATGTTTGGTGTTCGGGCCTTGGGGCTGTTGGACACTGGCGGGCCCAGACGGCGGGGTCGAGCGGGCGGGGCGCTGAAGCGTCACTCCTGCATGAATCGCGAATGCGTCACAAGCGATAGCGCGGTTCCCAAGTAAATCGCGATGGAACCCAAAGCGAGGGAGTGATCCCTGAGTGTTGGCGGCGCGGCGTATGAATGAATTGCGAAGAAACACCACGCGACAGCGCGATTCCTGCATAAATTGTGAGGACGTCCGCGCGAGAGCGCTATTTGGAATCAATTGTTTGAAGAGTATCAGGCGGGCGCCGTTGTTGTGGTACTTCGGGGGCCCGGGGTGTAATCTGAGGCGCAAGACTTCCTTGACATAAACCCGGTGGTACTTCGGGGGCCAGGGGTGCAATATGAGGCGTAAGACTCTTCCTTGAAATAAGCCCGGTGCAAGCCCCGCATCCAAAGTAGAACTGCACCCACCCTCGGGCA